ATCTTATGTACTCATTTATGACTTACGTGGGTGATGAGGACAAGAGAACTCAGAAAAAAGAAAAGGGTTTATATGCCTTCTCAAAAAAAATAGTGAATCATAGTAGGTAGTGGTATCTACATTGCGGCCAAGTCTAGTTTATGCCTCATTCAGAAACTGGCCAAGTGTTAAACGATACAAATAAAAGAGGAGTGAGTTGAGGAGAGAGGTTGCTCTTTATTGAGGAGTAAGTGAGGTTATGAATTAAAAAATACCAGACTTGGCCACAATGTAAATTTTACTACTTTGATAGGGCGACTTTTTTGGAAGGGAGTTTGTAACTTGGCCTTTTTTCACCGTTAGGTTTTTTTTTGGGGATATCAATTATTTTTGCAGGCTTCAGCATCGTGGACGACGTGTTATTATATTTTAATTTTTTTTTTTATGTGTCGTAGATTTTCTCTTATAAAACCGTTTGGGTTTCTGTTGAGGAGCTGAAAAATTGGATTCTTGAGCGTTGTCAATACCAGGCAATGATAGCCAAGTTCAGTTTTTTATTTTTCGTTGTCGATACTTTTTAGATAGAATGTCTATTAAGTCTGGCCTATTCAATGTTCTTAGACGGTTGTATTCAATAATGGCACTATCCTTGGTTTTCACCTGACAGGGATCAAAATTAATTAAGTGAACTCCCTGGAGGATCATCACCCTGGGCCACGTATGCTTGACCACACAAGAATGTTGAGTTACCAACACAGATATATATATATATATATATATTAAATATATTTAATATATATATCTGTAGTTGCCAACAACTAACAAAGCAAAATGGGGAATTGATATCGGTGCACATAAGTTCGACTGATGATTTCGAACTTGGTCGGAATTCGTTCTAAGTCATACATTGATCAATAGATAGTCATACATTCATCAATGTTTTTTTGACGTTACCACGTAAAATTATCGTCTGTATACCGACAAATATTATTAAAATATTCTGTATTTGAATAATTATATCACAGAAGTATGAGGTGAGTGAGCATTTAGCATATTATTAATATAACAATAATATTATTAGAGCGTTTTTCTATTTTCGTTCGTATCATGTTATTTTTTAATATAAATTGTATACAATATATTTACAGCAGTAAACACACTGACACATAATCGTGTTTGTGGGATACTCATTGGCTGTATTTTTATTTTTTTTATTTTGTAAATTGGTTGTATTAGGTATAATTTACAACCATCAGATTATTAAATTTGATATTAATAGTTTTAAATTATTTATTTGTACTCTACCAATAGTCCCGTAAACTGTCTAGTCATATTGACTAAAAAACAAACGGACTTAATATTTCTTAACAGCGATTTTTCTTTAACTAATATAATTGAAAATCGCATACAATTATGAAGTGCTAATTGTTTTTACTAAAAACAAATTCTTCTATTATATTAAAACTACCGATAATGCAGTTTATTATTAAGATGTTTATTGGCTTTTGATAAATGAACAAATTTTAACACTGTTGTTTTTTATATAATTTTTTTATGATGTATACAACGGTACAGTTGGTTTGTAAAGGATGGAATTTTAAAATCAGACCCCAGGCGGCATTAACCCGGCACCTCCGTGATACGAAACGGCACGTCCAAGTTAACCCGAATCAACCATTCACGCTCGTCTAGGCCCCGTCTGAGTTTATAATTTTTAATATTTAATTTACAACTTACAGTTCAATAGTTTACATGTCAACGTTACTTGTCGCGACGCGTTCGTAACCTGGAGAGCGAATTGCTTACAATATTTTTTCTACCCGGATCCGTCACAGAGAACCGGTCTCGATCTGGCCCAGACAAGTGTGAACTCTCAGATAGAAAAAAAATCAATAAGATATTCTTTTTCTAAAATCTGGACCCAATAAGTCTTATTCAATAAGACCTATTGGGTCCAGATCTTTTTCTAAGACCTGACAAGGACCAGTGGAAATCTTTCTTAACTATTTAAAAACTGTTTTTATTCCTTGGAGGAATTTATCCTAAACCCCTGTCTCCAGTTGTACGCCATTGGGAGTACATACCGACAAGATTTTTATCTATACTGTGACCATTCAAACCTTAAGTAAAACATAATAATGCTTTTTGCATAACCTTAAATAAAACATTATGCAAAAAGCATTATTTTAGATTAAAGTTGAATGGAAATATTGAACAAATAAATACATATTATATCTATTATAATTATTATATATTGGTGTTTTATACCAATGACAGTGCACCTATGTTTACGCCCACTCTATGTGACCCGTACAATCAGAAAGTTCCTACTAGTGTAATTGCATTAAAATAATAATACAATTTATAAAGTATATGGTATTAATGGCAATATATATATATATATATTTTAAATTAATCAATATAATCTAATTTGATAACAATAACCCGAATAAATTATATTTGCTTACAATAAAAACAAATTATTAGATTTCTAGCTCGTAGAACGGTAAAACATCGAGACGACTCCATATTAAAAAAAAAAAAATACATAATTCAACATGTATGTTTTGTAAATGTAATATTCAAAGTGTTTGTAGTTAAAACCATCTTGACGATAGTTAAAATATGTAAAAGTATATGCACATGTATATATACGAGTACATGATATTTAGGATGAAATGTATTAATGGAAAATAAACAAATTTAAATAACATATAAAACTATATTATATTTTAAAATCATATTATATCACAAATAAATAAATAAATTATATAGAATAAGTTTTAGTTTGACATTTAATTAGATTGTAAAGTTTAATTTGTGAATTATAAAACTTAAATCATTTATTTTTCATCTCCTACTAATTTTTTATTTTAATTTATACCTACAATATATGGGGATCTTAAGGGACACAAAATATTATAAATATTCTAACTACTTGGATCTCAAGATACATTCTTAATTTAGTTTATTTAATCTATAATTCATTTAAATCTCAAATTATATGTCTGTTGCATTCATAATAAATTTATATTTGTTGAACTTCTAAACATCAAAAAATACTTATCAAAATTTTTAAGGTTAGTACATTTAATTGCGAAGTGGCTGTATACAATTTTTTCTATGGCAATTAACATTGTTTCAAAGTTTTTTTTTTCATTTGCTCAGTGAAGTTAATGAGCGAATCTAAAAATGAGCTCTGTATGTAACACCTTTTAAGTTTGATTCTTGGTATAATGAATACATAGTTTAAAACTTTTTATGCTGAATCACTGCCCAAAGTTAAGTACTTTAAGTTAAGTAATTTAAAAAAGAACATCATTATTCTTTGTATAATAAACATTAAGTACCAGTTCACAATTTTCTTTTCATTTTTAATATTCCATAATACTTAAATCATAAACACATTGAACTGTTGCATAATTTTCGTGCATTTATCGAATCCTTACATTGTATCAAGAAGAGGTTTTTTTTTTTTTGTTTTTATGTTCTGACGACACCGTTGGGTTGTTGAATTTTTTTTTTTTCAATAGTTGTTTCGAATACTTCCTCGAACGGCCCCACATATTCAGAAATATGTACAGTGTTAAAATTAAATTTCTGACATCGGTAAAAAGCCAGGTTATTCAGCTAATATAATTTGATTGTATCTAAATTATAAAACTATTTTAAATCGTTAAACCATTCATTAATTGGCAATATTCCGCGTGGTACAACGAGTACCATGAATCACGTGCGTGCTTGTGTTTGAGTCTCGCAAATGCGTAATCGTACTGCTATTTCGTGGTACAAAGGCACCATTTGGGGGTGAGTAGAGTGTGCACTCGCTCACCCTGAATTTTTTTTAGTTTCAATTATTGGCTATTGGCCTAGGCGTCACTGATACATGGCCTTCAGTTTTCCCATCTTTAATATTGTGCGTGCACCGCGGCTAATCAGTAATCACAGCTAATCATAAATGTTGGCCTGGGGGTGGGAAAAAATAGGCCTCTTTAACACATCCTTATAAAAAACTAAAATAGCGCCCCTGGTGTGATATTATGCCGTCAAATGTCAACCGATAGCGCGTGCGAGACAACGACCACGGACCGTTAAAACGTATCAAGACCATTGACGGTGTGTGAATCACGACACGGGCAACGAATATAATTCTCAAACATTCTACTCGAATAACTGATACTTGAGAACGTATGATAATGTCATAAGAGTTATTGCTGTTAATATGTATAAAAATGTCCGGTTGTTTTTGTTGACAAAAAACGCGTTATTATTTACTGTATAAATTAAGGATGAAACCATCTCGAGGAGAGGAAATTAAAATTAAAGAATATGATGCTATAAATTGTATACATATCGTATGAAATCTTGTGACGTCTAATAAGTTATGTATTCCTTGGATGTTGGCTACAAGCTTGATCGTTTGAACGGAATATCATTCGTTAATGGGAATCGAAAATTGAGATCACAACCAACTCCTAACAGTAAATCCTCGGAGGACATGATGATATTGAACAGTCTGCGTTCGTCATGGGTTGTCGCCCTTTGACCAGATAGCTGAGTATTTTACAAAGAACTTGGGCACATTTACCGCAGGAGAAAAACCGGTTCTCGGCTACGGGTTTTCGGAGTTGGCCGCGTGGACACCTAGCGTGTATTCTACACGCGCTGCAAGCGGTCGAAAAGAAATGTGTCAACGGTATCGCAGGCGAGAAAATTCGCCAACACCGAGTGATGGTCGCGAGCGGCGGCAACGGCGACCGGTGGAAAAAACACGCGCGACAACGTGGGCAAGTGATAGTACAGCGGCAACGCAGCACAAAGAACGAGCCGCGATAACGTTTTGTCGGCTGTTCGTATACGGGCGGAGGGGATGGTGGGAAAACGCTGAGTCTTCTGACGGTCAGGCGCGCAAACACGACAAACTCGTTCCGCGCGCACCGCCGACGACGCCGAAACGCGTGCAACACGACCGTTGCCGAACGTAACCCGACCGTCAAACACTGCACCTCCCCTCCCCTACCATGGACCAGTAACAGCTGATCCACACTGCGAGCGCGCGTTGATCAATTCCTATTTATTTACTTTTTCATTATTATTATTATTATTATTATTGTATGGCGTTTTTGTTTTTTTTTTTGTTTTTTTTTTTACTGTTTTTTATTATACTCTTCATTTCGTCACCACGATCATCTGCACGTTTTTTTCCCTCTGTGCCCGCCCCCGCGACCACTCCATTGTCCTTGCCGTCGAAACTTTCGCGTTATCTCGTAACACATGTGCCATCATGTAACAAGACGTCGTCTCTTACGTGCCCGCGCAGTGGTCAGCGAGTGACCGTTCGTCTGTATGGTAATTATTGTTCAGTCGATTTTGTACCGCGTGCCGACGCCGCCGATCGTTCATATCGATAATAGTTCTTTTGATGTTTTATTTTTTACCAATCCAATCGTACCCAGTTCGTATCTTCCACTCCCCTCTCACAAATCCTCTCTCACACTCGAGCCTTGTCGTCGATATACCCTAAGCCGACTGACGTGCGCAACGGCAGTGCATTCGCGCGTGTTAACAAGTGAAATATGAACAGTGAAAATGTGGTGTTTAGTGAGCCAACCGAACGCCGTCGTCATAGAAGTCAGACTCGACCATAAAGCAAAGGGTCTAGAATGCCTTGAAAAGGTAAATAATACGACATTTTTTTTTTTTGTTTAACCAATTCGGTCGCTATGATGATAATGTGTTGTCTTCGACCTGGTTGTTACGAATCACTCAATTCATTGGCTCTAGTTGTTAATGACAGCTTTTGAAATTGTTGTTTATACTAACTTGTAGGAGAACCCTTTAGTATACAGTATCTCATTAGTTTCATTGTTATCATGATGCATAATATCAAATTTTTAGTATTTACTTACATCTTATGTTTTAATTTAAGTACTCTAATAATTAGGATTACTTATTTGGTTTTTCTAGAACCTTAAATTATGTGAATATGTTCTTTAAAATAAGATAAAACCCTTAAATAACAGTAAATAGAAGAAATAAATAAATAAATTATTAGTTAAGGTTGTTTGTAATTAATTACTTAATTTTTTTTTTTTTTTTGATATTTAGGTACATAACAAATAATTTGATTAAAATCAGATGCTACTCAACTGTTAATATTCATTTACCAAAAACTACTATAGGTTAAATGAATGTCTAAAAAATGAATTAAATTAAGTAACATATTAAAAATTTGTTGATGAATTCTAATTTCTGTATCTCCTTGTTATCCATAATATCCTTATCACTTATTCAATCAAATGAAGTACCTTTCTAAATGAATTTTAATTTGTATTGAATATAGAAAATTTGAAATGTATTTATATAATTAATATTTAGTGACAGACTTAATATAAATTATAAAAGTTATTGTTTATTGAATTTTTTTTAAAACAAGTATTTAGGTAGGTTAACCTTAGAGCTAACAATCAAGAGGAAAATGGCTAATTTTATTTTTTGTAAACTTACAATAGAATAGGTATTTATATTCTTAGCAGTTGATTGTGTATACCATGGCGCTCAACATTTTCTATATCCTTTTTTAAATTCTGAGTGAAGCAAAAGATAAACTGATTTACCAACTAAGTTTTTTTTATTTTTCTGTAAATATTTTTTATAAGGTAGGTATATTCGCAACAATCATTTTAATATGTAGTAGAAAAAACTTTGGAAACCTTATAAGAGCCTTTATCATATCTCAATAGTTTTTTTTAATTGACCTATTATTTTAACAAAGAACAAAAACTGACACTATTTTTTAACAAATCCTCTCCAAAAAAAAAAAAGTAAAACTGGTTTTAAATTAATAAGGAATTTTTTGTAAATTTGTATTTATTAAAAAAAATAAACAGCTTTTAATAAAATTTTAATAAAAATGTTTGAGCTTGTCAAATGTTAAATAATTAATACTTAGTATATTTTATGGATTACATTTAATTAAAGTTCAACTATAGACCTAATAAAATATTAATATAAGTTAAATTAGAGCTGAGTAACATAATTTTACTTCCTAATTAAACAAAAATTGAGTAAGCAACCTTCATGTATTTCAATTTTCCAGCCTGAATTTCATAAATAATAATTACAATCCTACTTATTCTCTACTATAGTATCTTAAAAATTTAACTTTCTTATGGATTTATATTCTTAAATCATAATGTAATCTATAATAATTATTAAAATAATTTGTCTTGAAATTTATTAAAACAAAATATAATTGTTTTCAATCAATATTTTCCATACTAAGTTTAATTTATTTATTATATATATATATATATGTGATACAACAGTATTCATATAATTATATAGATATTATATAAAGTCATCGAAATACCATTTTTTACTGTCAATTAATATGGTTGTTCTTGGATTATATTATTATGTACTTATTTCTAAACACTTTAGTTTATGTTTTTCAATAGATCAGAAATAATAACTCAAACTAAAATTACATTTAAAAATGTTTAATAGGTTTGTGAATGTTTGGGTATCAACAAGGAATGTGATTACTTTGGATTACAGTATAAAACTGTCAAAGGGCAAGACGTTTGGTTAAACCTAAGAAATTTGATAGAGCATCAAGTGGCTGGAGTTCATCCATATCGTTTTGCACTAAGAGTCAAATTTTGGGTACCACCGCATTTATTACTACAAGAGTCTACCCGGTAAGATTTAAAATTTATTAAAATAATTATTTATTCAAAGCTTAATATAATTATAAATTGTTTGTCAGGTTTACTAGACTAGATAATAAAAAATATTAATGCTGCTTCATAGGTTACAAAAATGTATCATATTGATAAGTTTATATGAAGTTTTAATGATAATGCATGTTGATAGGTATTCTTAATTATAAGTTAATTAGGGTGAGTTGTAATTCATAACTATTAACTATGATAAAGTTCAAATCTAAATAAATATGTATGGTTTTAAACTATATATTTGATCAATATGAGGCTATTTTTATTTTTTCCTATTTAAAGAATTAATTCTGTTTGGATAAACTAAATATTAATTTATATATTAATACAAAATGGTAAATTGTAAAATCATAAATAATTTACCAACTCAAATGTTTAATTTTTATTACAGAAGTAAATGATAGATTAAAAAAACACATTAAAATAGATAAGTAAATGAAAGTGTAGACATATATTTTTACGAATATATTAAATCTTTATACAAGGAAATAATATAAGCCAATAAGGTACTTTAAATGAACAAATTTAATAATTGATAGGTATATTATATTAACATACTTTGTTCTAAAATATTAACATATAAATAAAAAATTCCAAATCACTTAATATAATAATTTAATATTATTTTTATTAGTTAATTAAATTGTTTTAATGTATATAAGCCATAGCTTCATATTTTGTTAAATTTGCATTTAGAAACTTATTCAACAAATCAATAAATTTAAATTACAAATCAGAAATCAGTATGTGTTGCATTTTTAATTTTAAATTAAGTACTTCTTTTTGGAGAATTATTTCTAATATAATACATTTATATCATAAAAAATGAATGAAATTGAAAATAATTATTAAATACATTGTCAATATAATTCTTTGACTTCAATTTTAATTTTGCATATAGATAAGACATCTAGAAAATAGTTTTAATCATAATGGTAGTTGAAAACTATTTGTATGTAATTAAATTTAGATTCAATGTTTTCCATTTTTATTTTAAATGATGTTATTAATTAAGACATTTTTAATTTTTATGAATTAAGTTATTGTGTTTTATTGGTTTATTGGTTTCAAATACAAATATGTTTGGTAATAGTAAATTTTAAAATCTTTCGAGTATAGTTATTTTCTTGGAAAATTAATTCTTATTATTTTTATTATCTGAAATACTAAGAAATTGATTTAAGTAATATTTTATGTACAATAATTTTTTCTCCGACAAAAGAATAAAGGTCAAATTCGTTAATGAAAAAAGTGTAGATAACCTATACAAAAAGGATTATATTTTCAGACAGATTTTAGCTTGCCACCTATCTAAGCCAAATATAATTATATTAGTCCATATATTTGTATAAAATTAATTTTATTTTAATATATGATGTATATTATGATATATTATGTAAATTATATATAATTTTTACTAGAAATAGTTGTCGAGTGAATTAATTGTTTGTATTAAAAAATAATTTCTAATTTACTAATATTACAAGCCTTATTAAAAAAAAAATATGTGATTTTAGCTATGCTTGTATTCTGTAGACTCAATTGGCCTTATAGATAATAATTTAGTGAAAATACCCTTGTGCAGCAATTAAGTTGGTTAAGTTAATACTTCATTGTTTACACGAAAAAATTAAATAAAATTATATATACAGTGTGGTGTGTGTATCATAAACCATTACCAATTTACATGAGATATATTATCAGACAAATAAACTACTATTTAAACATACTTTTAACTATCGTTTATAATTTTATTATTCATACATATGTGTGTGTTTTTCAATACACCCTTTTTATCATCAATTTATTTATTAGCCAACTAGATTGAAATATACTATAACACCCATGCCCCATGGTTGGTTAGGGAATGTTTGGTATGGAAATCAACCAACGCAATGTATAATTTGATTTTTAAATACATGGCTTATTTAAAAATAAAATGTTCTAACTGGGATTTAATGTCATATTCACCAAAGTTTTATTATTTTGTCATTTTATTAGACTGTGTGCATTAAATTATTAAATTTAAGTAGAAAAATAGTTTAAAAATTTATTTTTTTCATGCTAATTTGTTCTTATAAATGACTGAATAAATATTACAGTTTAGATAAAACTTTATTTAATGTATATTAATATACATTAATAAAATGTAATACACTTTTTGTTATCAAATCTAGTGAACAATCTAGTGGCAAGTAAAATAAAAAAATACAATGACAAAGAGAAAGTGTCTTTGAATAAATCTCCACCAATGTTTAATAGGCATTATAGTTCTACCATACTATATGTGATATTTTAAATTCAGGGTCATAAAAAATAAGATTTGTTTAATTTAATTAAATTGAGATTTTTTTTTTTTTTGTAGCTTTATATTATTTTTTTATTCTTTACATTGTTTGTTCCTTAAATTTCGTAATTTGGGTTCAATGCTACTTACAATATAATTTTCTTGGTTATACATTGTGGTTATTGACCTTGTAATATCTACTCATTGATTCTTAAAACTATAATCATTATTTTTCTCTTTCTTATAATATTTCCTCACTAGATAGCGAGCTTAAAAATGATTAATTTAGCTTTATTTCCTGAATATTGATATTAATATTTCAGTTATATCAATTGCACATATCACATAATATTTATCATTTTTACTCAGATTAGCAGCTAGTGCTTAGCCTTGCACTTGGGCTCTTATGATATTATAATATATAGGTAGATAACTGATATATTAAGATAATAATTAATACCTTTCTTAAAAAAAAATTAATGTTTATAGAACTTAGATTTTATATAGTATTTAGTTATACTTAAATTACTTTGGAAAATATTCATTTTTATACTTTTATTGCTCAACTATTAGCGTAATCGGGCGTTTTTACGGCTGTATAAATACGTATTTTGATATTAATTACAATAAGATTTTTATAGGCTGTTTCTATTTAAGTGCGAACGTATTAGTCGTAAAGTAATATAAATCGAAAAGTAATGTTTCAACATTGCCGCTTTGGGTGTGTTATATGGCATCAAACATTTTGTACCCTGCTAGCTTTGTCAATAAAATATATTTTAATTTTAACGGGTGAAACCATCTTTGAAACGATTATTTTCTTACACCTTACTTATATTGTGTTGTTTTCTTTCTATAAAATATATGTATGTATAAAAAAATCATGAACGTTTTATTATTAAAAAATACTTGCCCCTTACAGACGATCTTACTCATGTTCTATTGTGGAATGTTTGAAATAATATATTTATCCAATATTAATGTCATGGCTGATGGCTCCTTATTGTACTTTCATAATATCTATACATTCATGAAATTGGAACATATTTAACTGTTAGTTGATATAATATAATACATCATTTTCACAATAAGAAGTATCATTTGGGTAGATTAGTAGAAATGTTTTGTAATAATTTTTCTTAGTTATAGTAATTATCTAATAATATACCTACACGTGCCAATTATTCTAGTATTTGGCACTCGTGTTAAACTTTTCGACGCCATTCTCTGCTCTGCTCTGCTCTGAATTTCGAAAATATCCTACGAATTGTCTTAAATACCCACAATTATAGGTTTTTATGACATTGTAGTGCATATTATGTATGGAATATTAAAAGGAAAAATATTATTCCCACTAAATTATGATCCCTTAATATTTTCATATGTTTTCGAAAAGAAAAGCACTTTCTATAAAATAAGAAAATTATTTTTTTTATTTATTTTATGTACAATAATTTCAAAATATGTTGAACGTGTATGAATACTTTACTTCTTCGTCAACCGTCATTAATGGTGGTACAATGTTTACATTAAAATGCATAGTGACAATTATTGGCCAACAAATTCAAGAAGGTATTGTGAACTTGTCTAAAAAAATTATCATGCAAGTTAAATATATGATTATCCTTATGGCACGTACGAAGATTCATATATATATATATAAATGTACTGTTAAATGTTTTCAATGGTGTTTTCATAAAAATAAGTTGTAAAGTTGAACAACCTCTTATATAAAATTAAAAAAAAAAAAAATGTAACCATAAAGTCTACAGGTGCACTCCAATCGTCCATGCATGTTTATATAATGTGCGGAATGTCTATACATACTCAATGACATAAAATCCCACTATCTCGTTGATGTCAACCGTTGTCTAAAATAATTCTGCTAACGTTCATGTAAATTACCATAAAACGCATCATTTGGATGGTAATCTATTATTGTTATACCAACTATATCTTAAGTAGCATATCTATTTCTCTAGCGTTAGAAACAACTGTTGAAATATTTTCGTATCGCGTACGGTATATTTAAGTTTCGGATTATTATCAATTCACGTAATTGCTTTGTGAATCTTAAATTTTGTTTTACTTTCAACTGTCGCGCCAATTGTTTTAATTCGTTGCGATATTGTATACCATACACGCATGTCACGTTAACATAATATTGCACCCGGCACTATGGAAACAAAACAAAAGTCCTAGAGAACCATTATTCGCGGTCATAGAATTAAAATCCTCTCCGGTGCTATCGTCCGGTTTCTTTATTGTCATTAATGAACTGTTGAGTACCGTACGTCCATACTTCCTCCTCGGCACGTAACTAATTCGTCCGCGATGTCAACATTCTACAATCACTAGCCGCTAATTAATAATTATTTACAGCGTAGTGTTCTGCGAAAATTTCTAAACCTTTGTTCGAACATGTTAATATTTCGTTTTTTTTAAGCCTAATGTTAATGATTTTTTTTTTTCACATTCTATTCAGTAAACTAACTGAATTACCTTACTTTGCACGGAAGACTCTTGATCGGTACATAGATTTTAATAGGTTACCTATTAACCCTTACATTATTTAAGGCCTAGCCTTATGGTATAACTTTTGGTTATGAATTCGCCTCGTCGAACAATATAAATTGGACGGTGAAAATTGCTTAACCGACAAAAAAACGGCTTAAAC